ATTTTTGTAATGCATTCCACCTATGTGTAGAACTTTAAAAAATACGTATAATTCCTGGACGATAATAAAAAAGTGATCATTTCAGTGCAAATTTCGGCAGCAGCATTCGCATTTAGATTTAATGAATGATTTCCGCATGGCATAAAATGGACAGAAAAATATGTTTTCCGCAAATCGCCAGGAAATTTTGACATTCCTGTCAAAATTTCTTGAAGAAAAAGTCAGGACTTCCTTACTGTAAGGAAATGTCATTTCCTTACTGTAAGGAAATGATATTTCCGTACAGTTGTTAGTGTTCTACATAAATGATAGAAAACACATTGCTTATAAGGAATTAATTTATATTTTGAAAACATCAAGTCATTGCTGAATACATTTTTAAGATCAATTTGTTATATTTACAGTAATTTGACAGTTAGTACAATTATTGAACATTGGAGGTAGAACTCAACTTAGAACTATGAGTAACATTTTGGACAACATGCAGGGTGGAAGTGTCATTTTGTTGAATATTTTGTACTGTGAAAATTTTATTTGCCACCTCAACCTTATTGTTAAGCGATTCTTCGATATATCCTTCAGCAACGTTTGATGACTTCCATCCGCCATGCCTTAAACTAGTTATGTCGGCACCAGAGTCAACCAATATTGTTGCAGAAGACCGACGAAAGCAGTGACCAGTATATTCTGTCGGATTTACCAAGTTCGAATAAGTAGCAATTATTTTGGGCATTTTTCTAAATTGATGAATTCCTACCACTTGTCTACAACCCTTTCCGCTTTGATATTTAAAGAAAAATCGGTCACCGTTCATATTTTCTGGTCTTAACGAAACATACTTTCGATAAACATTCAAGTAGATCTGATTAATTACAAATGATCTTGGTTTGTTGGTTTTCGAATCAGGTATGCTGATTAAAGCTTAGATTCTAAGTCTTCTATATCGTGTACAGTCATTCGGACTAAGTCATCCATTCTACAGGCCCCAGAAATACCAAATATTACAGCCACCTAAAAAATAAATAAAGCTATAATCTAAATAGAAATTAAAACCTTGTAAATTACCTTAATCATTAAATTTTCTTTATCTGTAGCTTCCTGGATAAAATTTTCAATTTCTTCCTTCGTTAAAATCTTAGATTTCTTTGCCCTATAACCTTGAGCTTGCCGTTTCAATAAAGAACGAAGTTTTGAGTATGTAGATATATCTACATTGTGTTTAAGTGCAAGGGTTGACTTCAGCATTGAATAATTGGCCCATAATGTTGAAGATTTCATCTTTAAACAAAGGTCTAGGAAGTATGCCATTACAACATTTTCTGAGAAAGAACTCGTATTTTTACTCATGCGATAATCCATAAAACGTCTGTATGCATTTTCGTACTTTTCTCTTGATTTCTTTGGCAATAATTCTAATGAAGCAGTATTCACTGCCTCAACCAGCTCTGGAGGAGTCCCAGGAATGGAAATTTCATCATCACTTATCATTTTACTTTCGAGAACACCAGCAATTAAATTTATAAGCGTCAAGTTTGACAATTCAACCTCAATACGTTTCCATAGTAACCCAAGTAATTTTATTAGGAATTGCAAAGCACCATTTATTTGGGAATAAAATTATCGCGTTTTTTTTAAATCAATCAATATCTGTCGAATTTTAAACGATTTGCGGAAAAATAGTATGTTTACCTCGTAGGAAAAGCCACATTCCTGGACTCTCGGCTTGCGCCTCGACTTAACAATCTTCACAGTCGTCCAGGAATGTTAAGCTTTTCCTACCCGGTAAACAATGTACTATTATTATGGATTAGACTCCCTTATATTTAGCTGTCATATTAAACGTATTATCATAATTCTGTCACCGACAGTGACGTCTAAAACTAAATTATTAAAAAATCTAAAATTTCTTTTTCCAGTATTAGAAAATATAGGCAGAAATCTCAAAAATCGTTCTTTTATGCCATTTGGAAGAACATAGCAAATAATGACTGTAAGCTGAACTACGTGATATATATATATATATATATATATATATATATATATATATCAAGTAATAAAACAATAATTAAAGAGTAAAATTTGGTTTTGTGTGGGGTATAGTCCCCACTCAAGCTACTAAAGATCTTATAAACAAAAGAAGAGAATTGAAAGGCAAATACACAGATAATTTTGTAACACTAAGACAGTTAAACAAAGATATCACAAAATACATTCGAAAAGATGTCAGAAATTACAACACTGAATACATAACTCAAGCCATTGATAAAAATAAAAGTTTAAAGGTTCTGCGCCGACAAATGACTGAAGGATCGAAAAATATTTGTAAACTTGTAAATAAAAAAGGAGAAACTACAACAAATAAGGAAGATATTTTAAAAATTGCTAAAGATTTTTACTCAGAATTGTATAAGCGAGAAGAACTTCCAGATCCTGATCAAAATCAAATACCAAAAGTTCAAAATGTAGACTCAGAAGATATCCCAGATATCAAAACAGAGGAAATAAAATCGGCTCTCTCGAAGATGAAAAACAATAAATCACCTGGAGAAGATGGGATAGTCATTGAACAAATCAAAGAAGGAGGAGAAACGTTACTAAATGTGTTGAAAAATATGTTTAATGCTTGTTTGACAAGAGGCATAACACCCTCCCAGTGGTATAATGCAATAATAACCATAATGCACAAAAAAGGTGACATTTCAGACCTAAAGAACTACAGACCTATTATTTTGCTCTCCCATACATACAAACTATTCATGAAGATAATAACAAAACGGCTTGTGAACAAACTGGATAGTTACCAACCTTGTGAACAGGCCGGGTTCCGCTCCTGATACGGAACAAATGATCATCTGCAAGTTGTAAAAACGCTTATAGAAAAGTGTATAGAGTATAACAAGCCTATCTTTCTTATATTCGTAGATTATGAAAAGGCGTTCGATACCATAGATCATCATAAAATGCTTCGAGCATTGGCTGACTGCCGCATTGACTACCGATATATTGCCTTGATTAAAAGTACTTACGAAACTGGTACAGTTTGTGTCCGCCTTCATGAAGATACCAAGAAGGTTCGAATTGAACGTGGAATTAGACAGGGTGATACTATCTCTCCTAAATTGTTTACAGCTGTTCTTGAATATATGTTCAAGCAAATGGAACGAGAGGATAATATGGGAATTAATATAAATGGCGAAGATCTGAATCCCCTAAGATTTGCCGATGACATCGTTTTAATATCAAAAACAATTGGTCTTAAAATTAACACCTCAAAAACAAAATTTATGACCAACCTTGTAGTCAGCGGTAATATTCTGATTGAGAGCCATAGCATCGACCAAGTAATAGCTTACAAATATCTAGGGCATGAAATTCGCCTAGGCCGAGATAATCAGACGACTGAAATACAAAGAAGGATAGGTCTCACATGGACTGCCTTTGGTAGATTGAATAACATTTTCAAGTCTAGTATCCCAGTTTGTTTAAAAAGAAAGGTTTTTAACCAGTGCGATTAACGGATGACAGATGGACCAAGAAGATTCTGGAATGGCGACCAAGGCAACACGCATATCGATGCAGAGGATGACCACCGACTAGATGGACGGATGATAGACGGAGGCCTACGTTCAGCAGTGGACAAATATAGGCTAATTGACAATGATGATAGTCCCCACCGGGCGCGTTCCCGGGTGGCGGATAGGGGAATGGCTCCCGTATATCGGTGGTACCGGAGAAATGAAATACCCGGCGTAGATCAAAACAGTAGCGTCTGATCCAGAATGGACGGCTACGAACATCGTCTGACTCAGAGTGGGCGGTTAATACAGAACTCACCAACCCGTCTGGCAAGCGAGCTTTTTTAATGCCAAAAACCCCTCTTCAGGAAACATGTCGAATTACGAAACAAACGGAATAGGACCCCAGGTGGGTAGAGTTACTAACTCGCAATCCCACACCGGGAAATCGGTTCGCCTCAAGGATTCTGGGGGAGGCAAATATTCGACAAAAATAAATGTAGGAACGTATAACATCAGATCCATGAACGAAGACACTAAAATCCACGAACTAGAGGAAGAACTGACTAAAATACAGTGGGATATTATCGGCATATCCGAAGTAAGAAGAAAAGGAGAACAAAAAATACAGCTAAAATCAGGAAAATTCCTATACTATTAAGGTAATAAACAAAACACCAACAATGGAGTAGGATTTATAATAAATAAAAAAAGTAGTTCAATACATACAATCTACCAAGGGCATATCAGAAAGAGTAGCATACACGACGCTTAAATTAAAAAGAACGCCCTTAAAAATCATACAGGTGTACACTATAACAAGTACCGACAGCGATGAAGATATTGAACATTTCTACGAAGACATAACAACAGTTACGAAAGAAAAGAAATCAAAATTAACGCAAATAATCGGAGACTTCAATGACAAAATAGGAGAACAACTATATAAAGAAGAAGACAAAGTAGGACACCATGGATACTTTAAAAGAAATTTATTTCGTTCACTATTGTGAGTTGTAAATCACCCGATATAATAGAAATAAATTCATCACATATTATAGACGACAAATAGTTGATAGTACCGGTGTCACAGTTTGACCTATATATCATCCATGCTAGTTCAAAGCACCTATATAATTACCATTATTTTTACTAAAAAAACACTTCAGTTTTACCATGAAATGCTAAAGAGTACGAAGAAATAAATTTGTCTCTACCACACGTTAAAATAATTCTCTCAAGTATTTTTTTCGTTTATCATTTGCTTTTCAGTTCAGTATCAATGCGTGTTGTAATTTTAGATCTTGTCATAAAAATTCAATATACAAGAAGAATAAGAAGAAGAAAATGAAGAATTTTTTAATCATCTATTTTATCATTTTAATCTAATATAATCACGCTACTATTAATGCAGTTCTACACATTTGTCTATATATTTGATTTAGTAAAAAAATACCGTTGAATAAATAAAACTATATTCATTATTTGATTTGACAATATCTTTATTTACACCAATAATTAACTATTCGAACTAAGCTCCATCTTCAACTTTTCAAAATATACCAAGTCTTCAGCGCTAATGGACGGCTTGACATTTACCATTGCCTGCTTAAAATCTTCAAAATTTACAATAACATCATCTGAACCTGCCTCTTCTGCTGATAAATCTCCTAAGAACAGTAATAGCGTTACATAATTTATCGTTCAAACTACCCACTTGATATTATAAAAAAAAATCATATAACAATGTTCGAAATACAATATCTTAGACCTAGAAAGGAACATTCAAGAGGTTTTCGCAAAAGTAAATATTGCTTCTCGACAGTTCCGCTGAGGAAAATGGTACTTCACATTTCGGGTCAGTAATTAGTCCGATTTTGTTGCTAGTTGCCATAAGCCATAAACCGATATAACAAAAGGCATCCCCAAACCAATAAAAGCTCGTTTGTAAACCGATAATGTAATATTAAAGGCCAGACCATATGGTACCCCGATACAGGCCTAAAGTATCTTTATAGCTACTCATACGTAGATGAGACAAAGAAAACACATAGCCCAGATTGCAGGGTTAATCCCAGTATACAGACGAGTTTAAAACTGCAAAAGGGTAGGGTGTAGGAATATTCAGCAGTGATGGAAATGTAAACATTTCCATAGCTCCAGTAAGAGATTTATGCAATTTTGCGTTGTGCCAGAGAAATTACCATCAGGACTTTCGTCCTGAAGCTGATCAATATATGCACGAATAGTCAAGTAGCCCTGAGTAAACCTAGGAGCCCTAAGGTAAGCCCCTGCTAAAGAACACGACAGACTGGCGTAACATAAGTGTCACCAAAGAATATAGACGCATATAGAAGGACAGTTCAAACGGGCGACTTGGTCACGGTTGTGACTGCATAAACTTAAACCGTGGCCGTCGGCTTAAAACCATCATGAAAGATGTAATTAGGGGAAGTGTTTTTTTTGGTTTTTTTTTCATAACAAAATATATATTTTTAATATATCAAATTGTTAAATTTTTACTTTTAAAACTTAAAAAGGGTATGATAAAAATATTCAAAGTATTTATTTATTTTTATTACATGTAAATAAAATTTTATAAATTTGAATTAAAAATAGGTTTGTTCCAACACTACGAAAAACCGCCACATAACTTTTTATTATATTGTTATCCTACCCAAAAATTTACGAAACATTTTTAAAAAAATTCAAAATTTTTCAAGCAAAAATTTAATTTTCTCAGAACTTTTCATCAAACTTTTTAGACAATTTTGACACCCGTGTTTTAATTTGCAAGATTGTCATTCCACCAGGGTACTTTCCCGTTGAAATTCCTTACATCGCTTAAAGACAGTCTTTAAGCACTGAAATGACAATGAAATTGTACGGCGGCCATGTCTACATTCAATGTATGTCTTACAGTCTCTTTAATCCTACCTAAACTATATTCCAGGTCCACTTGATATGCTTCCCAATTTATTTTACGAGGATTACGATAAGTTTCCTTGATATGCTCATTGCCTGTCTCGATGGTCTGAACAAGACACATCATCTAAAGCATGCCATTTTTAAACAGTTTGGTATTTGTACCTCCCCAGGTCAGATGGTAAGTATTCATATCATAGCCAATGATTAATTCCAGTTCATTTTTCATACAATCTCTCACGAACTGTTCCAATTCCCTTGATGGTTGTTCAGGATCATCATATGGGAGGTATGCTGATTTCAGAACTATCAACTTCATACTCATTCTTCTATAACCCTTATCTTTACAGATCTTCAATCTGTGGAACAGAGATCACAACCAATCTTCTGTGTTAAGGTCTTGATTTTGCCTCTTTAGTCGGGTCCTGATAGTTTCTTCATCAAGTTTTTTCTCGGGTACGCGGGTGAGGACCATGGGGCGCTTGGAAATATTATTTGGAATAATTATATCTAAGTTTATTCCCTCCCACAGGCCCGCAATAGTTTTCACCACTTCAGTAGTCCATTTTTTTTATACTCATTAACACAGTTCACCCACACGGTCCCTAAACGTTTTATGGAACTGCAGAAGTTCATTTTGACCTCAGTTAGGAGCCTCATCAAGTGCTTGCTCCAGTTTGTTAATGATCAAATTGGCTTAAGCCCGATTTAGTTGAGTATCAGGATAGTATCTGTGTACTACCACTATTCTGAATACTTTTGTCTAGGTACTTTAGGACCTAGTCTGTTCGTTAGAGCACCTTGGTTTCTTAGCAACTCTGTTACAAAGGGGGGTATTGGTATTCTCCCGAAGTCTCTTTTTATCGTCAGGTGTGGCTGATTTAGATTTCTTAGGATTTGCTATGGTCTATGTTCCAGCAGCCATTTTTGCCTTTTTCTTATCTTCCTTTGTTGAGCTCTAGTGGGGCGTTATTTGAGATTTACTTATTTATTTTTTAATTTAACAATCCGAAATTATACTTCACAATTTCGAATTTTCAAATTGTTAAAAATAATTCTTTGGGTATGTGCTAAACAGAAATTCTAGCGTACTAACAAGATCAGGAATTGTTTTTTAATCGAAACACCTTACAATTTTTTGAGCTTTATCTCCCAGTGATTGACTTTTAATTGATTTTATTTATAGTTTATAAGAAGAGAGCTTTAATTATATTATTTGTAGATTTGTACATATTTCAATTAAAAATTGATTCATTTATTAAAAATTAAAATAATATTATTTTCTTTAAAAATTTTTATAAAACGCAAAAATTTAATGCTATTCTTAGACCACGCGGCATCTACATATAAAAATATCTAAAGTTGCATTTATTGCCCCTTCTTCTTCTTAACGTGCCCTATCAAGTCCCCTTGACGTTGGCGATTAACATGGCGAAACTGTCTCTGTCTCGAGCTATTCTAAATAGTTGCTAAGCTTTCTTTATTCCTGTCCACTCCCTGATATTCTTCAACCAAGAGGCCTGCTTTCTACCAAGTATTGCCCCACTCTTTCATATTTTAGAAGCAATAATAGCGCTGACATGACCGCTCCCTAGTGGTACTAATAAGGAACTAAAATCTTGATCCATTTTCCATTCTTTTTTTTTAACGTGCGATTAACCTCTGCCGACGCTCAAAAATAACAGTGAAAGATTCTTCTATATGCGTCTATATTCTTTGGTGTCACATTGGTATAAGTTGTCAAACGTCAATGAAAGAATTGATGAACCTTCCAAAAGAAGAGCAGCTTAAAAATACTAAGGCCCAGAGCCAGCCGTAGTAGTGCCAAAAAGCACTGTCTGTAACTTTAAAAAAGCCTGTATTCGAACACAACATAATCCCAACTGGGAAAGTATATCCAGTCCAGGATATGCTTTGTCCAAATGTACGGATGTGCGTTAATAGGCCTAAAATACTGCGGAAAATAAACAGAAATCAGCTCAGAGTGATAACAGGCTTCCTTACTGGACATGACCAGTCAAAGGGCACCTGCATACAGATAAGGGATGTTTCATGGAGACTTGACTCTTAAGACTCTTTAGCAGAGTCTTATGAGCCAAGACGAAATAGCATATATGTTCTTTAAATGTTTTTCAACATTCTGATAACAAACTATCAGAATATTATTCTCACAGAGAATAATTCAAATTACACTTCATATCTTAGGTAGATGATTCGCCAAAAAATTAGCTAGAACGAACCATTAAACATCCCACCGCCAGACACTATAAAAGACTAAACTTACTGAAACCTTTATCAAATCACGATTAAGGATACAATTATTCCAGAAGGATTATGGTCTACAAGTTCCATATCTTTTAGTGCGAGTTTATCTACAAATAAAACAACATTAAAATTATTTGACTCAATACATAACATCCTTTTCAGAGCTACACTACGTGCTTTCCACGTCAGCATAAACGAAAGTCTATATAGTGAATACCGAGAACCGTCACTACGAGATATGCATATATTTCGCAAACTACAACCCTTGCATCTATTGTGCCACATAAAAACAACCCACTTATAACGTGTTTTTATAACGTATACCGTCTTTTAATCAGTATCTCTTTTTATGTGTTCACATTCTGCTCTGTCCCTCGCTTGGATTTTCCAGTTAGCAACAATAATCTTCTCAGCATCCTGTTTTACCCCTCAGCATTCTGTGTCTATCCCCCTCAGCTTTGGTATAACCCGTCTTCTTATTTCCTCCGGTTGCGCTGTTAAAATCTATTGTATGTGAAACGCAAGCCGTTGTCAGTAAAATAGATTTCATTCCTGGACTATATATACAGTTAAAATATTTTATACGCAAATATATAAATAACCGATGGTATAAACGGAAACCAACGATTATAGGGCTGCGTATACGACTGTATAAGCGATAGAGATATAATCGAAGAATTTGACGAACGGGAATTGAACAATTAGCTCGGCTAGCTATAACTATTCCAAATGGATAGACGATACCTTGCTTACCTTACCCTTCTTACCAAAACTTAAATGATCAGAATATCTATTAATTAGCCTAATAAGCCACACTCTTAAAATTTTCCTAATACTTCACAACAAAATTATACGCAAATGCGAAGAAGTTCTTGAAGATACCCAATTTGGTTTTAGAAATGCTATGGGAACCAAGGAGGCACTTTTTGCGCTTACCATCCTATTACAAAAATGCCGTGACCAAAGAGAGTTGTATTTGCATGTTTCGTGGACTTCGAAAAGGCATTCGATAAAGTACAGCATGTAAAAATAAGGCAAATACTGGAGAATATCGGAATAGATGACAAGGATATTCGTGTCATTAAAAATTTGTACTGGAATCAAACTGCTATCGTAAAAATTGGAGATAACTACACCGATTAAATCTCTATACAAGGAGGAGTCAGAGAAGGTTGCATTTTGTCGCCAACATTCTTCAAGGTTTACTCGGACCAGTTATTTAAAAAGGCACTTGAGAGACAACCATATGGAATAAAAATCCACATGGAACTACTTAATGTGATTAGATATGCAGACGATACAGTAATTCTACCAGATAATATTGAAGGACTTCAAATTCTGCTTGATCGTATTCACGAGGTAGGAGTGGAAATGGGCATTAAAATAAACTCAAACAAAACCAAATTTTTAGTGTTTAGTCGTGACCCACATCCCGATGCAAAGCTTCAATTAAACGGAGTCCAAATTGAGAAAGTTCGATCGAAATCGGTGTAACGATCAGGTCACAGCCGTAAAGGTTGCCAGAACCCATGGAAAAAATTATAGTCGTGTTGCGGCAAAGATGGAGTTGACAGCTATAAACCGTCAGGGAAATGAGTAACGAACGTCACAAACGCCAATTGAAACTGCAGTTAATTCTCATTAAAAACGGTAGATAACATAAAAATGTCACAACACAATTTCAGAACCATATTATTAAAATCTTACCAGCTTCAATTTTTTTAATAAGACGTCTAACTGAAAACATCCACGCATTTGAACATATACCATAAAAATCAGCTCCAGTAACATTCTTTGGGCAAACTCTAACAACTTCTGTCAAATCCACTTGGTCGTCCAATTTAAACCTGAAAAATAAAAAATTTGCTATTACAATTGTATAAAATCAAATTGTGGTATTAAGTTAGGAATTGCTAAGTAATCTAGATTTAATAAAAATGCATTTATACTCTCTTCCGTATTCCCACTAAGTTCCCCTTTTAGTGTAATAAATAAAATTAAAATACAACTTACTTCCTAGTAAGAGCTTTTAAAACTGAAGTTTTTGAAACATCATCTGTACAAGGCCCAACGTATAGTAATTTGTCAAAACGTCCAGGTCTTAATAACGCAGGATCTATTAAATCTGGTCGATTAGTTGCCCCTAAAACAAAACAAAAATGAATTTAACACGTTAATCGCTACCATGCATAGTAAAAAAAAATTAAGTGGGCAAAAATATTAAATACGTGGACAATATTAATTTATGCATTTTAAATAGTTATTCTTCAGTTTGAGTACAAAATCTTACACTATTGTTTTTTTCGAATTATTTAAATCGAGAAGCTTGTATGCGTCTCGTGGCCACAAATAACGTTTTGATTCAGAGAGCCATCTAATCCACATTTGCTTCTCGTATAAGACAATAATGAGAATGAGCATACGTTGTTTGTTTTATACGTTGCATTTGCTAAACGAATGCACTACGCGCTAGTTACTTCCTAGTTAGTTGTCGGTGGGCAAGGTAGTACTAAATGTGTCTAATCAGTTATAAACATATCGTATGAACAGGAACAGAAGTGTTTGCAAAAGTTTTTGGAAGTTTTTTTTTCAGACCAAAACAGTGATGACAGTTTTCGTGATAAAACATTTGAATTAGGTAGTGATAACGAAATAAGTAGTTCTTTGTCAAATAAAAGTTTCGTAAAAAAAGTTCCGTAAAGCAAAAGATTAAAAATAAAATGTAATTTTTAAAATGTACTTTCACAAAACTCAAAAAGAGAAAACGACAGTACCGAAAATGTTATTTCCTAATATGAACTGCTAGATGATGAAAGTTCCTCAAAGTAGGATGGCATTGCGCTTGATCATAAGGTACCCTATATATGAAAGAATCCAGATGGTTAGTACTTGAAAAATATTACGTTCAATGCTGAAAAATAGGGTACCAAAAAGTTTTTTCAGATACATGATAAAAAATTCTTCAATTATTTTCAACTATTTGTAAATGACGATATTATTGAGTGGATTGGACAATAAACCAATGGATACGCACATCAGAACTTGAATATAGGTAGTCACGGTCCAACTGCTAGAATTCATAAGTGGTAATTCTTGTGTCGATGGGATTGCAAAGATTACAAATCCACTATACGAAAACAAAGTAGAGAAGCTGGTTTCAAATTCTCAAAGAGAGTAACCGGCAGTACCAGCAGAAGAAATCTGTAGTTCTGTTTACGGACTGTCGTTTAGACAGTACATCAAAAACAAGATATTTAAATTCGGAGGAAGGTATACAAACACCTTTTCGATGGAAGCTTATAATTTTTATATTAGCGTGACATTAGCACATAGCTAAACAAAAATAGAAAGGTGGGAATTTTAAGGCAAAACAGAAAGCTTAATCCGAAAGAAGTGATTGATGAAAATTGAAAAATGGAGAGATGGAACAAGATATTGGAATGGAGAGTAACACAAGTGTAGTAGTAACTAAGTGGAAGGACAAGCGCGAAGTGTTTATGCTCAGTGCAAAGCATATTGCAGAAATATTAGACTCCCACCAAACGAGAGGAATAGTTCAAAAGCCAGTTTCGGTTCTAGACTGCAATAAGAACAATTATTTACATGGCATTACGAAAATAAATAAATTGTTATCGTAACTGATCTCCTTTTAGTATCCGCTATTGTCACCTCCTATATAATTCACCAAAAAGTAACCAAACTTAAAATGTCCATTACATCTTTCAAGTAAGAGTTGGTTTGTCAACTGGAAGATTTCTCTAGAGCAGCAGCTGCTCCGTGTTCGTCAAGGTCACC